CTTCTTTCTCCAGATGGGGAACATGTATAGAATGTCCCTGCTGGAAAGTATGTGTGCAAATGGCTGCAACCTATAAAGAGCATATCGTTCTTCTGGGTTCTGATACTTGCTCTTTCCTTCACATCTACCTTTTTTTAGGAACACCTTCAAGTAAAAAAGAAGGATTGGGAAATATATAATAGACAGAAGAGGCCAAAAAACATTTAAGCAGTTTAAAGAATAACAATGAAGCAATGGAATGCAACCAGTACTATTCTTAGTACATCTCAAAAGCCATATCCTCCTCCTTCCCCTTGCCCCAGCTAACTTCTCTCTTTCATTTTCTGGTCACTCTTCCCAGCTCTGCTTTAGTTTTACCTGCATGTGTGAGTCCCTAAATAAGCTCTCTCTGCCTTTGGGGGGAGGGGTCAGGTGGTGCTTATTTGCATAAGGACTCCAGTGTGGTAACAAACAGTTCTTTTCAGGGAAAAATACTAAAATATGATGTGTTTTCCAAATACTTAACCAAGAACAATATCAGCATGTGTGTAAGGGAAGAGGGCTAGGGGGAAACCCCAGCACTAGCATTACACTTCTTTGTTTTCATTTCCTTCTATTTCGTGATGGAAACCCAGCCATCTATTATTTGGAATTGATATGAACAGCTAATGTCACTGGGGAGGTGAAGATGGATGTGGGATTTCCAATCTGTGATAGTCTGCTGACAGGGATGGTGCTATGCAAAATTGCTCAGGGTGTGGCATGTGCCAGCCCTGGTGTACTCCAAATTCCTATCCATTCATCTTCATGGCCATCCTGGGCAGCCAGTGTTTTCTCTCACTTTCTAGCATCTTGTACATCTTAAAAATCCATCATCCACATTGAGTAAGCTTAGGATAGGTTTTTTTTTTTTTTAAACAATCCCTACCAAAATAGTACTGGAAAACCTAAAATTATTTTGAGAAGTCTTTGAACATGAGTAGGTGGTGGTAAGTATAGGTTTATTTATTCATTTCATGGAGTACTCCATAATCCACCAAAGTGTCTAAGTCACATCATTACTGTAATGAATAATACACTGAACATCTGCGTGCTCACCTCTCAGAATTAGAAATAGAATATCAGTGTAGTTTCACTACTCTTGCTGTTAACTGCGAAGATTAGATTGCTTCCCCTACCCCCCACCAGAGGTAACCATTGTCTTGAATTTTGTCAAAACAAAAGTTTTTAGAGTTAACACATTTTTAGATTTTTTAGAGTTAACACATGCTATATACATAAATCATGTGTGTGTGAATACCCCTAAATAAAATACAGTTTTGTTTTGTTTTTTGGGAAAATTTATACATATATATATGAAATTGTATATAATTATATTTTCCCAAAACTTATTCCTTTTGCCTAAAATTGTATTTTAAGCATTCAAGTTGACACCTGTGTCTGTAGCAAATTTGACTGCTCTATAGTATTTCCCTGTATGAATTTACTTACTCTGCTTTTTAAATTTTTTCTAGTTTGAGATTCCACAAAGAGCACTGATACCAATTTTTGAATGCTTTTCTCCTGGTGCACATATTCAAGATTCTTATCCTACAAAACTTGAATTGGAAATGCTGAGTCACATGATATAAATGTTCCAATTTCTAGAGAACGCAAGCCTGTTTTACAAAGTTGTAGTACACATTGAAACTCCCACAAGATGCAGAAAAGAATGGTCGTTGCTCAATATCCTCTTACACATGGGGTTGTCCAGTTCTTTTTTGTTGTTTTCAAGCTAGGAGATATGAACTGAAATCTCATTGTGATTTTGTGCATGTATTTCTCTAATTACCAAAGGAGCTGACCTTCTTCTCATGTGTTTATAAGAGATATCTGTTTTCTTGTCTTTGAAATTCCTTTCTGGGTGTCTTTTTCCTCATTTTTCTATTGAGTCTTTTTCATAATAACTGATTGGGTTTCATTAAGTAGTCAGAATAGGCATAGAAGAAACAGGCAAAATTTTTAACAATGTGAAATTTAACTACTTTTATAAATTGCATGTGATATAATTATATATTTTTATGTTGTAGCTAATTATTTCACTTTTTTGGTTAAAAAAAATTTTTTTTTGGTACCAGGCATCTTTTTTGGTTTTAATATAAGTGTTCTTAATTTTAAAATCATTGCATTCTTTAATCTTTTCCTTTAGAATTTGTGCATTTTAAACTTAGTTTCTAGATACAACCCACATTTTCATTGAAATTATATGGTTTTGATTCTCACAGTTTAATCCTCTAATTTTTTTTTTTTTTTTGGTACTGGGGATCGAACTTGAGTCCTTGTGCTTGCGAGCCAGGTGGCAGAACCACTGAGCTAAATCCCCCAGCCCCCTCTTTAAATTTAAGGCTTGTGCATAGCGTAAGGAGGGGTATAATTACAGATTTTAAATTTTGGATGTAGAATTTATTGAATAGTTTATCTTTTCCTCATTGATCTCAAATACGACCTCTGTCATAAATCAAGTTTCTGTATACCCATGGATTAGTTTTTAGGTTTCCTCTTCTTTTTTCCCCATCTATTTGCTTATTAATGTGCAGCATTACGTTGTTAATAAGTAGTCACTATAGTTTTACAATAAGTCTCAATATCTAATGGAGCAAATTCATCTCCCCCCCTACTCCCCGGAGCATGTAGGCGATCCATTATCCTTTGTTCTTTCATATAGATTTCAAAACCAACTTGCTATGTTCCAGGAAAAAACATGGAGTTGTTATTATAGTGAAATTATCATTTAGGCCTATTTGAGGAGATTGGTGACTTTATGATTTAGACCTTTTAGATGGTGTATTGTTCCATTAATGGAGTTACTTAATAAACCTCAAAAATAACCTCTCCTATTTTCTCCATAGGTGCCTTATATACCTTCTGTTAGATTCACTTGTATGTATTTTCTGTAATATGTTACTTTTATAAAAAGCATTTGAAATTGTATTTTCTATCTGAATGTTTTGATATGTAGAGAGGCAATTGATTTTGCTAATTAAATTTTTGACATTTTTATTATTAATTTATCTTGATATTTTGAGTTTCCTCTCTAAAAAAATCATCTGTTAATAGTGAGAAGTTGATTTTTTTCTCTGAAATTCTCAAAATTTCTCTTTGTCTTTTTGTACCTTGATAGTTGAGACTTCTACTGCATAGTGGAGGAGCTGTCATGGGCTCATCTTTGTCCTGCTCACGACCCTAAAAGCAATAATTTGAAAGTTTTACTGGTGTGATGATGTCTGTGCTACAGTTTTGTAGGATTTCTTTAGCAAGTTAAAGACATTCTATTCTATGCTATTCTATTCCTTTGCCAAAAGGAGTTTTTATTATTGTGAATGGATATTGAATTATATGGGCCATCACTTCCAGAACTATAATATATGGTTTAATATATTAATATATGGTATAATTATATGGTTTAATCCCCATTAACTTGTTAAAGTAATGAATTACAATAATCTTGGCCTGTAATTTTCCCATTGTATTTTGTCCTTAACTAGTTTTTATATGAAAGTTATGCAAATCTCATAAAATACGCTGGGAAGTATTCCATATTCTTGAAAGAGTTTATGCAAGAAATGTTCATTAGAATTCATGACCAAAATCTTCTGTCATATTTCCCTAATGAGTTTTTAAAATGCAAATTCACTTATGATATTAGGGATTTCTATTTCCTCTTGAGCCATTTTTCTTTTCTATTTTCTACAAATTCATACAATTCATCTATTTACAAACTCATTGGCATAAAGTTGTTCATAATATTCTCTTATATATTTTTAAGTATGTGGGGGAACAATGTCTTTTTTCTGTCTATGCAGTTTGTTTGAGGGCTCCTCCCACAATTTCTTGCTAAATCTCACTAAAGATTTCTCTCTTCAAGCAATACTTTTTAGAGTTTTGAAATTTTATTTTGTTTTATTTATTTTCATTTCTTCATTTTTATTTCTTTAGCTTGGATATTTAGCTTACTTAATTTTGAGGCTTTCCTTTTTCTTCTGTAAGAATTATAACCCTTATAGATATCTTTCCAAGAGAGCTGATGACATCATATTACAGTGATACATACATACATATTAATGTTTATAGCAGTACAATTCATAATAGCTGAATCCTGGAAGCAGCCAGTATGTCCATCAAGGATGAATGGATAAAGAAAATGTGGTATCTATACACAATGAAATACTCAGCTACAAAGAAGGATAAAGCCAAGAAATTAGTAGAAAAATGGATACATCCAGAAAATATAATGTTAAGTGAAATAAATCACACACACACACACAAGCTTAAATATGTATTTTCTCTATAAACTGCTTTTGTTATATTCTACAATTTTAAAATACAGTTTTTCTGTTCACTCTACATAAACATTGAATAAATAAGGCAGTTACCCTGACAGTTGATTTACAAGATTTGATGATATGTTGAGAGCACTACAGCATAGAATATGGTTTTCGTAATTTATAAGGTAAGTATAATGAGTAAGGCAAAGTGCAAATAAAGAGGAAAATAAAGGCTTGATAAAAAGAAAATAGGGAGATCTTTCATGAATGGGAAGAGATTCAAGAAATTGAAGGCAAGGAGTGGGAGAGGGGTAGGGGGAGGAAAAAGATTTAAGATGTGTCATGCACATGTACCAAACACCCACAGTGAATGTAAACCTTATATGTCATCAATATGAACTAAAAATAATATTAGTAATAATAATGAAAATGGAGAAAGGGGATCTAGAGACAGAGGGAGGGAGGGAGGTGGAGACGTGAAGGGAAATTAAAAAGAATCAAGATGTGTTATGTACTTACTTTCTAAGATGAATGTAAACCTCATGTATTGCAAACACGTACTAATAAAATTAAATTAAAAAGAAAAAAGAATTGTAAACTATATTTTTCTCTATAAAATGCTTTTGTTGTATTCCACAATTTTAAATACAGCTTTTTCTGTTAACTATGCATAAACATTGAATAAATAAAACAATTACCCTGACATTTTATTTACAGGATCTGACAATGTGTTGAGAGGACTAGGGAACAGAATACGGTTTTCATAATTTATTATGTAAGTATTCTCTTAACTAAGATAAACTTCAAATGAATAATTCTATAATTTCCTTTCCTCTTACTTATGCATGTCTTAAAACAAAGACAAAACAAAAACAAAATTGGCACAGTTAAGATCAGAAAACATTCTCTCATAGGGCCCATGGCCTTTTGGCGTTTTTGCCACCCTAAAACATAGAGAGGAATGAATGTGATATGTATCTGGAAAAGCCAAGAACAGATGTTCTCAGTGGATTCTATTCTCTACAGGCCCTCTGCCCTTGTAGGTGGATCTTTCAGGAGCCCTGTTTTTGGACCCTAAGATTGTATTTGTTTTTATATTTAAAGCTTTAATCACAATGTACCTTCGGCAAATCATGTAAGCTTTACAAGTCTATTTCCTTATATGTAAATTGAAAGCCATATCAATATCAGCCACTTAGAATTTTTCCAAGAATTTAATAAATGTGGACACAGTCTTTTAAAATTAAAATGCTTCACTAATATTAAGTATTACTTTTTTCCTATGGCATTATTTCTCAAATTTTTATACATCAGTCCTTTTTCTCATATGTTTTCCTATTTCTGCAAAGAAGAGTTCACTCTCTTGTCAAAAAGTCTTTTGCTTTAGGGGCCAAGATTTAGAGATTCCATCTTTACAGGTTCAAAACCCTTATAGATCACAAATTTGAAGCTTCTTGTAGGTGAAAACTAAAAGGTCTAGGGAAGGATTGTCTATAATATATAGGTCTATAAATGTTGGGGGTAAAATTTCCTAGAGTTTAAGGAAAGACAAACTGAAGTCTCAGGACTTCTGATCTAATGTTTTCTATAATATTCTTACCAGGTGATTCACAGTTTTTATTTAAAGTCTGTTGGCTGGTAATTAGCAACCATGTAAGAGGCAGTTTATGCTTATCATTTATCTTAGTTACTTTCCTCCTTGGTGGGACAAAATATCCAACAAACACAAGTTAAGGGAGGAAAGTTATAGTTAGCTCATAGTTTGTAGTGGTTTCAGTCCATAATGAACTGGCTGCAAGGCAGAGTGAATGGGAGACAGTCATCACAGAGGAGAAACAGTTCATGGCAGGTAGAAGGTAGCAAAGCAAGCAAGGGACAAGACAGGTCTTTTTCTGTCCCTTATATTGTAGCCAGGCAACTGGGATTGGGATAGTGCCAAACCAATCAGTGGATTGATTTAGTAATCACTCACCCTTAATCCAACCACTCTTAATCCTAGCATTGCATCATAAAGCAATCACACACTCTGAATTCAGCCACCTCTGAAAAAGCCCCACCTATGTCATATGAAGCTTTGGGGGGACAACTGAACACAAGCCATCACATTCTGCCTCTGGCCCTCCAAAGACTCATGCATATCCCTTTATGCAAAAGGGACTTAGTTCGTCTCCAAGTGTTGCCAAAGTCCTAAAAGTTTCAGCATTGCTGAAAAGTCCAAGTCCAAACTATCCTCTGAGATTTAAGGCCAACTCTTAGCTGTGAGCCCCTGTATAAGTGAAAAGAAAGTAAACACTTCCAACATTCAATGGCATGAGATAGACATTTCCATTCCAAAAAGTACAAAGAGGAGCATAGAAAGGAATGGGAACAAAGCAAGTCCAAAATCCGACAGAGCAAACATTAAGTCCTGTTCCATATCCAGCATTCCAGACAATCTGTGACAAGACATGAACTCCAAAGGGCTTGGGTGGCTCCACCCCTATGGCATTGCTGGTGGTTGTAGCTCCCATGGCTTCTTTTTTTGGGCCAGCTTTGCTCCATTCTTGCAGCTTTCCTCAGATGATCCATGTTCCTGGCTTCTCTAAACTTCTGGAGTCTCCTCTGCACCTTCAGCTTCACACTCACAGCTTCATACATTGCCTCTCAGGAGCACACTGCCTGGCTTCCCAGGCCTTCTTCTGAAATCTGGGTGGAAGCCTTCCTGATCCCACAACTCTTACATTCTGCATGCACCTAAAACCAGCACCACTTGGATGATGCCAAGGTCTTCTGCCAGGTGGAGCAGTAGCCAGGCTTTCTTCTCTCTTGGCTGTAAGGGTCCAGTGCCTATGAACCAAATCCCAAGGAACAACTTCACTAGGCTGCTGTCATTCTGGAACATGGTACTTTGGGGCTCTCATCTCAAAGCGAAGACTTTCTTTCACCTTTGCAACTCTGAGGCTGCAAAGGCTGGAGTCCTGTTGGTTCTTGTGATGTGGCCATCTTTTCTGTTGTCTTCTTCTGAAATCCTTGGCTTTTTCTTGCTAGTTTTTTCAGCAACCAATTTCTCCTCTGTTCCATCTTTCCAGGCTGCAACTTTACTGGAGCTTCCTATGTGGCCAAACCCATAACATTTTGAATCATTTTGCTGGGCTCTTCACTCTTGATTTTCAACATAAATCTGGCTGAAAGCCCCCACCAGTAGCCATGCCACCACCTCAACATTATACTGCCTTGAAATTTCTTCTGAAAGATTAATTAGTCCACCGGCTTTTATACTTACCCTCAGGCAAAATCTCTGCACATGAGCAAAATGCAGACAAACTTTCTGCCAAGTCATAACACACTGTCTGGAGTCCAGCAGACAATGCAATCCTCCTTCCCAAGAGATCACTCTATCCAACAATGGCCCTGTAGGAGGCTACTAGAAAGAACCATTTTACTAAAAGGCTTAAAGATAGCTGTGCCCTTTGTCCACAGAGTCCCTATGAATTAAATAATAAACCTCAAGGTGCCTATGAACGTGGAAATAAAAGAAATTCCAGTCAATAAAATATATCTCTACCTTGCCAAGCCAGATCTCTACAAGCTACACTTGGAACACATCATGTGGCAACTGGAAAGGAACTATCTCTTAGTTGTCATTTATTTTGTCACCCTGCAGCTTGCAGATGTAGAGGTGAGTCACTTATAAACTCACAAACATCAGCAAATTTATGTCAATTGATTTGGCATCAACAATCACCCAGTGAGGTTCATTCAGTGCATCCATTTGGAAACATTACTGTAGTCAAGTTTGCTCCCTAAGGTAAGTGACTTGAGGTCACAGCCCCTAAATATATCTAGAAAGACAGTTCTCATGGGCCTGGGTAGCAGCTGCACTCTTGGAGGGAAGGGTACCTACCCAGATGGTCCAATCTCTACAGCATCCTTAACAACAGTAGCGATATTGCTTGTTTAACCCAGCTTCGGGGACCTAGCTCATTCAAGGAAAGGCAGCAGGCAGGGGTCTGGTGGGTCACTTCTGGTCTAGCGGCTACCAAGGGGTTGAGGAGCAAGGTCAGCAGCCAGTGCCGCCTGTGCACATGAGCAGTCTGGACGACCTCTGTCAGGCTCCAGAATCCTCGAGCTGAGAGGCACCAGGAGTCTCTAGTCATTGTGCACTGTAGAGAAATCAAAGAATTCCAGAGCAAGGCCCTGGAATGCCTGGCTGCCTCCCAGCTCACTTACTAAGAAATAAATTCCATTGTTGTCTCACTCTCTTTTCCGTACTCTCAGAATCAGCCCTTACTGTATGGCCAGCATCTCTTTCTCCCTGCAAGGAGACTGCTGGGGTCACAGCAGGAAGCACGGAAATCTTGGAACATAAACTCAGAGTGTTGCCTACATTTGTTCACTGCCCCAACCCGCCTGTCCTGTCAGGGACTGTGGACTCCGTGACTTTCTCCATGTGCTGGACCTTGGCCTGGTCACTGTTCCAGGGACTCTTTGAACCTATCCCAAGCTCGTGTCAGACAAAAGCCATGATCGATTCCCTGCACCATCCTGAAGAACGGAGGGTAATATCGCACCTTCAAGCTGCACCAGCTGGTAAACAATACAGCTTGTACCCGGCTTCATAAACACACCGCCTTCCTACAAAGGCCCTTGCAAACGCAGTGTGATAGGACTTGACCTTAAAAGCTATAGACAATCTAATGGAGCACAGACGGCTTCATAAAGCACAATCACTTCCTGGAATTCTTGGGCCAGTGCAGTCGGAGCCGTGCAAATCCTGTTTTCCTTGCATCGTTTCCTGCATGTGAATATCATCAGTCTAGCAGCTCTGTAACCATGGCACTGGTAAATAGCTGAGGGGCAACTTCTGATAAAGGCATGTACTCTTAAGAAGTCTTTTTTTTCTTTAAGAGAAGCCTAAATCAAGCCCTACAACTGCTGTATGTCAAAAACAAAGCTGACAGACTGCAGTTTCAAAAACAGACACATTCAGATCCAAATATGTTTTTAAATCACCCAAAGGAAGCAAAATAGATGCTTTGGTAATGATGGTACAGTGAGTTGTTCTTCCTTTGTTGTAACGTAAATTTCCACAGCAGATTCATAGAGGACAGGCAGATGGACACAGGCCAGAAGCGCAAATGATTCTTTCCACAGTATGCTTCCTTTTCCACTGAAAGAAAGTGGGAAATCTTAAATGCTCATCCTTCATTTTCTCCAATCAGTAGGAGGAAGAAAAAACACTAATGCCATTCCTAGGAATATTCAGTTTAAAATTGTTAATTATCAGGAATAGGACTGCAATAACATCTGGACAATTCTACCCCTATTTTATTTGGTGCACAGCAAGTTATTATTTATGCTTTGAGAGGGTAAAAAAAAAAAATGAGACATGCTTTAAAAATAGACTGCTTTGAACTTCCACAGAAAACCCAATGACGTATTTCTAGATTTGGTATAACTGGTTCAAATACATAAAATTTAGACTTGCTGAACCCATCTTGATTCTGTAGCCTTGTACAGGATTGAAATGACAGTTGCACTGACATTTTAAGTTAAAATTTTCGACAGATTTAAAACATGGTAGATATTGGACAGAGTGCCAACACTTTTGTGAAGTTCAGGAAGATGTCCTAGGGACAAAAAAATATATATGTGGTGCCCACTCAAGTTTTTCCAGATGCCTATTTGATTTCTTAAGGCCCAGAAGTCTCTCTGAAACTTTACATTATTTTTATTTTTAAATTGCAAGTTAAATCAGCAATATCTGGCCAATATTTCACTTGAGTACTAAGGATCAGTTTAATACTTTGGGAAAATTTATACCTTCTATGATTATGATATGTAATATATGACAAGATCTAAGTATCTTGGAATAGTAATTAACAAAATAAAGTCCTATTTAATCTGTTATTGGAAAAAATAGCACAATTATTTTCCAGGACTTTATTTGCTTTCAAATTCTCACTTTCAGCTGGGCAGGATGGGACATGCCAATAATCCCAGCACTCTGGGAGGCTGAGACAGGAGGAATGTGCCCAGTCCAGCCTGGACCACTCAGCTACTTAGAGAGATGCTGTCTCAAAATAAAAAATTTTAAGAGGCTGGGGATGTAGCTCAGTATGAGGACCCTGGGTTCAATTCCCAGAACTGAAAAAAATAAATAAATCCTCACTTTCCATGAAACTACTGTATATTTTGGGGGTCACCTGGCTATTTTATAAAATCTGTAGTGCTTTTCTAAAGCAAGCAAGGCTTAGGAGTTTCTTTGTCTAAAACCACAAAGCTAACAAGTAGCTGAGTCAGCATTTGAATGCAGATGTTCATGGCCACAAGGCCATTTTTAACATCAACAATCCAATTGAACTGATGGCTGACAACAGGACTCAAACATTCTTGGAGGCAGGGAATCACTGATTGATTTAGAGCAATAAAAGAAACTATATTCTAGTTCTCTAAACTCCGGTACCACAGAGGAGAAAGTGTGTCTATAAATCGCTGTGTTTAACCAGTTCTGCACAAATGAGTGACTGGACCCTGATTCTCAAAGGATCTGACTTTTCTACACACCTCTTAAAGTGCCACTTCCCCTGGGTTAATGAGGAATCTTGTGAGAACAAGAGCAAGCAGAGAGGCATGCGCTGGCACACCCTGTAAAGGCACATTGCTCAGGAGGTCCTATTACCAGATTGTCCCACACCAAATATGGCTTCCTCTAAAGCCAAAAAAAGACACATAGTACTACTTTGGAATGAAACTAGGCTTTATACGTTGTGTTTATTTGTCAGAATTCATTTACGGGCATAGGCAGGAAGATGACATATCTCCTTTTCATGAAGGTCCCAGAGGAACCACAAGCACACAACGTCACCTCATACCACACAAACGCTACAACACAGAAGACTCCTTCTAGCATAATAAACCACCCACGATCACTGTGTTCTTGACACTGCCAATCCTTTTTCAAGTAAGATCAAAAAGGGATTTGGGCATTTTTTGACGTGGTGTCTGTCTGAACAGGGCAAGAACTCCTGCCCGAATGTTCAGTCCAATAGATCTGGAAGTTTGATCATCAAAATGGATTGCTCTTCCAGAACTTTGAGGGCATTTCTCCTGAGAGTTGTAGGGTAGAAGTTATTTTAGTTCTATCCATAATGTTGTATCAGTTATAGTTTATATTATTTTCTTTTGACAATTTCACTAGGCCAAAAGTCATGAAGAAATATAATTAAATTTTCAAATTATCACTGGACCTCTCAGGAGGTGCAGTCTTACTTATCAACTGTAAGGATTAAGTCACAATTAACTGTATAGGGTATTTTTGATGGGTCTCTTAGGGGGCTTTTCTTTTTAAGAGGAGCTCTGACTGACTTCTATTTTCAAAGAAAACAAGTTAACCATTAATATTTTCACTGGAGTATCAAGGATCATTTTGATGCCTATGGGAAAAATTCAGTCTTAACTGATGGCATTTTATTGTTCTAAATTAGAGATTACGTACCTCCCACAAAGAAACTAAATATATAGGGTTTTGGCTACTTGATATAACAGTGACCACATTATAAGCCAGATAGTGAGGAAAGATAATGGTGAAGAAAAGTTAAGTTGAAATTAGACCTGGAGACCATAACGGCAGATGAAATAAATCAGACACAGAAGGTTAAATATTACATAGTTTCTCTTTTATGAAAAACCCAAGGTATAAATAATTTAAAGAACAGAATCAAATAAATGATAGGGAATGGAGATAGACTTTGGAATTTGGGAAGGAAACTAGGGATGTGGTGGGAGACAGAAGAAAGTGGAGGGCAGGGGAAGGGGAAGTGAAAAGGTGCAGCATTTCCATGTAACAATTCCCCATGAGGAATATGTTTATTATGTATAGCAAATATACTAATAAAAAGGTAATAATTACAAATTATTACAAACAATGGACTGTCAGAGGCATACTGAGTGAGCTTAAAATAACATCCTACTGTATATATATTTTGCTTCAGCAAAGAATTATCTAAAAAAAAGAAATTGTACAGCTCCCGACTGCAGCAGGCCACTGCTTCTCTGCTGTGTATTCACAGCCTCTTCCATCCTCATGGAACAGTTTTGTCTGATTCTTTTTGCTTTTCCCAGGTTTTTCAGAAAGTCAGTGTCTGATACAGCCATCAGTGCAATTTCACTGGAAGTTAAGGCTGACTATTAGAGAAATATCCAGCTGTTTCCAAAAGTTCAACCACTGTGACAAACTGTCTTTCCATATTTTTTTTTGGAAAATATACAATGGAAAATTTTTCCTAAAATAATATGAATATCATTTTATTCGTTAACAAGAACCCAGGCTTTCTCAGACTTAAGATTTCACCTACAATCATCAGCGTATTTCTCTCTGTATAAATGTGTGCCCTTTTATTTATGAGAGAGATGACTCCTTTATCAAAAGTATGGTTTCCAACTCCATGGGTTAATATCAGTTAAGGAAAAGTGATTGAGACCTATTTCAGACAACATGGGCATTACTTTTTGGTAAAGGAGTTAGGGCATAAATACAAAATATGACTCCAGCACAAAATGAGAATGGTAAATCCCACAAGACAGCTGTGGATAAAGTGGTAAGGGACATGCAGTTTGAATATTAATAGACTTGAGTGCACCTTCAAGCCATCTTGAGGGTAAGAGCAAACTCTGGTATCTGAATGCTTGAATCCATCAGTTGCGCTATTGATTTGGGTTTGTATGGAGTCCTTAATAAATTCACTACCTGCTCACAGAAGCAACCAAAACTTAGTCTAAGTGCAGCTTATCTCCTTATTCATTAGTGGCAGTCAGAGCTTCTTACAGACTTCTGAGGAACCCATTTGCCCGGATTGAAGGAAGATGGATTCCATGTCATAAGAGTGGCTGGACAAGCTCTGGGAGAGCTCTCATGACTAGCAAATATGCTGTGTCCCAAAAGGAAACATCTTACTTCGACATTCAGAAATCTCTCATTGATGTCATGTTTTTTAGAGAACCATTCGTACAGCCGTGGCCAGACCCACAGCAGTCAATCACACACAAATACCGTGCACAAGCTCTCTCCAACCATCTCTATAAACAGCCACAACTGGATCCACAGTTGGCTAAGTTAGTTGATTTAAGGTCAGAGACAGACACACCCCTCCTGAAAGAAGCAAACCTCCTCAGAGGGGTATTTCTCTAGTACATCCAGGGAGAAAGTATTATCAGGTTACTCCACAGCATTGACCAACTCACCCCTCACAAGAGTAGAAACTTTCCACTGTTCACAAATTGTGGCACTTTCAATCAGATTTTCCTGCCTCTCATTAATTCTTTCCAAGAAGATGGGAACAAACAGATGTCTTCTTTTCTTAATTTGTCTTTCAAGTCAAAGCAGGACACACTTTGACCATCACAGGTTGGCTATGTTATCAGAGTGGTACCATAAAGCAAAGAAAGCCAGAGACAGTCAGAGCTCTGCTATTGCTGATATAGAGGCCGAACCTTCTCCTATCCCTACCCCAGGTCCCTACCTGTCCTTCATAGGAATCTTACCCTTCAAGGGCCAGCAAGATCACCTTTACAAAGTTGAAGAGTGAAATGACATTCTGTAGAGTTGTTAGAACTTGGAAAGTTATTTTTGAGATTCCTAAACCTTTGTGAAGAAAAGGACCATTTTCAGATCTTTAGGGTTTATTGCACCCCAAATGGGGACACAGTTGAATAATAGAAGAAGTGATTATTTGTCACTAATATGATTAAGGACACCTCAACCAAGACCCAAGTGATTTGAAGGAGATTCATATGAGACAGATGTTCCCTGAGAGAATTCCTGCTAAAGAATACAGATTTGGGCTTAATCCAAAGGGCACCCAGAAAT